AACATTTTATTATCTGTTCCAGAAAGGTGGAATCTTATGCTTTCCAGCTGGTCCTAGTAAACCCCCACAACAATTAATTCCTGCTTCTCCATCTTTCGATTTTTACCCAAATGCTTTCAATAGGATTCCATTCTCAGAATCATAAATTTCCACACAGGTGTGCATATTCCTCACTTAAAATGTGATTCCCACCTTTCCCATTGGGTCTCTTCCTTTTGAACAAGGTATAAATTTCAGTGGCTATATTCTAATCATGAGACTCATCCTGCCGGGAGTCCGTGACAGGAATGTGTGAGTAATCCAGCTCGGGGGTAGAAAGTCACCAGAGTTCCTCAGCTCAGCTCCCTGGATTTGGGCCACTTTCCCTCTTCCTCAGATCTGTCTCACACCGAACGGCCATCAGGCAGGAAGCAATTTCATGCAGAATTCTGCTTCTGCACATGTGACTTGCAAGCTGACGCACTTTGCACGAAGAAACCACTGGTGTTCTTGAGCATTCCTGCATTTCATGCATGCACCTCTTGAGATCTGGGGAAGAGGCGCTGCTGAAGGTAGCAAGGAAGTGGCTTAGACCAGGAGACCTAAGACAGTGGCTCCTCTCATGGTGAAATACCAACCCAAGCTATGGAAACGGGCATTTCTGTAGGGGTTCAGAAGTGGGCATAAGGACACGACCCCATGCATGTTTAGACAGGAAAAAAATCCCACAGCTTCCAGAAACACTTACAACAATGCTGAGAGCTGCAGAACATTTTCTTTCCATTGGAACATGAGTCAGATCGCACCTGATCTCCATTGATCTATTCTTCCTTCCATCCACTCTTTCTCCCTAATATAATTACTTGTTTTCATTCTCTTTTTCTGATTTTTTCATTGCACGTTCTTATCTTATCTTTGGGCTTGAACAAATGAGTTGCAAGTGACTCAGGTTTATAAATAAAGAAACAGATAAATAAATAGATGTTGGACATAATTGGGGTAATGCTTCCTTTTGTACTGTGGAGCACAAAGGAGGTGTGCTCTTGCATATCCCAGTATAAGCACAACTGGGAGTACAACTGATGAGAAATTTGCAACATTCTCTGTCTTACAAACCAACTCTCTAGAAATCTATAAGCTTTGCAATGATACTAGACAAGATAGATGGATCGATGGATAGATAGATTATAGATAGATGATTACAGAGAAAGATGATGTTGTTTACTCCTTGAAAACTGGACAGATACTGTCTGTTCTGATGGTGGGGCTTCTTTGGCCCCGCACTGTGCAGGTTCCCATGTATTTATCTCCACATTAGAGATGGAGAGAAGGTAGATTGGGATCCATTAGGTGATCCCTGGGTGGTCAATAGTAGATCAGCCAGGTTTTTGTTTCTGTTTTGTTTTTGGTTTTTTTAGACTCCCAATCATTTAACAATTGCAGAACCAGAAATTAGGTTGCAGAGGATCTCTGAGCCAAGAAAGCTTGGGTCAGGGGCAATCTGGACTAGATTTTTGTATGATCTTAGTTCTGCTGCTAGAAACAATGTCATAGGCCTAGCATGTGCTCAGAGGTACCCTTGCTCTTTAATTCTCAGTGAATGACTTCCCCCACAACCGTCAACACTCTTTTGGACCTGGCTTTGGTTGGACCATGGAGTTGCCTTAAAAACCAACACACAGCCCAGATAGCAAAAGTCTGCCCATCACTGAAGAGCACTCTTCCATTTTCCACTCCTCTCCACTTCTCACATTCTTAAAAACTTAACACTGGTGATACAAATTAGCAAAAATACAATGTCTATGAAATTCACAGGTGGGCTCAGGCAGTCTCACAGCACCGAGATTTTCTATGCATGGAATTTTCCCCCTCCATATGTTTGGATTCCCTATTCCAGCCTAAGCACCTTTCTGCAGGTATTCTTTAGCACACATCAAGGTTCACCTTCATGGACAGGAGTGAGCAAAGGTGAGCTTGAAGGTGAGCCGCGCATGCACTGGAACTCCCACAACCAAACAGAACATCTGGATTAGGCACATGGCTGCAACCCAAAATTCCTACAGCCGCTCAGGGCTTTCTCCGTTGTGTGCAAGGACTTTTCTGATGCCAGAAGAGCTGGGCAGCCCTTATTCCTGGGAGAGCCACACAAGCGAGCAAGCCCTGACTCGTGGTCCACACTCGATATTCAGTGCTTGGTCTATGCCGAATATGGGACGTCCATGCAACCATGAGAAATGTAAAGGCATGCTAGTGCGAATGTGTGTGAATATACTTGCATACACCGTATTGTGTTACCCAACAGTACTGGGACCGACAACTCTTGCACACACGCACACATAAATATAGGTCTTTTCTGCAGGCTTCCATTCAGGAAGATGCAAACAAATGCCAAAAAAGGATGGGATGTGAAAGACGCAGAACAATGCGGGTGCCTTTGTTTTGCCGATGGTAACGATACACATAGGAAAAGCACAAGGAAGCCAGGCTGGCAAGTGGACTCGAGACCACAGGTGCTTTGAAACTGAGGGAAGTTTTGGGACATTTTGGGCGCTGTGGTTCTTCCCTTGGCGAGGCCTTTCAAAGACATAGACTCTGCAGAAACACTATGTGGACTGAGATACACCCAGCCGACTCTACGGTGGGTAAGTGGCAAATGAATTATGGCTATCATTTGATGGGGGAAAGCACCAGTTCCCTTCTTCCGAATTTCTAGAGGTCAGATTTCTCAGAAATGTCCAGGGCTACTTCCTTCACCACCAGCAAGACATGGTGAAGTAGTAAAAAACAAGTACCAACTTGGGATTCTTCAGATACCTCTTATTTTCCCTGCTTCTGCTGTGAAACAGATTCACGTGTGTGTATCAGATCTGGCCACAGCCAAGCTTGCCATAACCCAGCCTTCCACAACCTGGTGGCCTTCAGAGGCATTTGGACCGCATCTCCCAGAATTCCCACCCAGCAGGGCCACTGAGTGGGAATCCTGGGTGTTATAGTCCAAATGTGTCTGGAAGGCACAAGGTTGGAGAAGATCAGATGAATGCTTCGTTTGGGGTAGCCTTTGGGAACCTCACTGGGTCTGGAATGCACCGTTCATGCTGGCTTCTGGTGTCCCCTGGCCACATGACTCCAGTATTAATCTTCTTCGAATGAGTGATGTATGCAGTTCCGTGTGCATTTTTCAAATGTGCGCATTGCTCCCTGCATGGTGTGCAAAGGTTTCTTGTGGCGTATGGGGAATGTGCAAATGGGGAAGTTCTGATGGTTTCGGAATAGAAGAGAACTGCTTCTAATCCCTCTTCTGATCACATGGAACCCAGGTGGATGCTCAGCAGGAGCAAACCCCGTGGATGGAAGCATTCCGTGGCAGGCTTTATGGGGAAAGAGTAGAGAGTTGCTGGGGGTGAGAGGGAGGGCTGGTTTGGGTGCTTGTTTCCAAGGATGGCTGGTGGGGCTCCGGAGGACTCGGGAAGTGCCTGAAGCAGAACGGGGGGCCCTGGGAATGTGGACCATCACAAGCCTCTGAGATGAGAGAAGAGGAGATGCTTCTCCCGAGGCCAGGCTCCCCAGCTGGGCAGGCAGCCTCTGGGGAGAACCAAGGTGTACAACTGGCAGGAGGGGACTTGGAACAGGGGCGTTTCCGAGACACAGACCAGGAGGGCCTGGCTCTTGTCCCCACGATGTGGTGTCAGCAAAGAGAGTGGCCCAATTAGAGGAGAGGAGATGAGCTCACTTTCAGAAGGCCCCTCATCAAGGGATGGGGTCCAGGCATGCTCATAAGGAGAGTCTCCAGAGGTGAACACTAGACTGGATTCTACAAACCACTCTGTGCATGCTCAGAGATTCATTCTGGGGGATTTGTGCTTTTTGGCCCATAAAGAATTTATTTATGTATGTATTTATTTATTAAAAGCTTTTCTAACCCATCCACTATAAGCATCTTGGGCCAGCTTACAAAAAACGCTTTGCAAGGAAAAAGATTTGTGGCTTTGAATGCATGGAGAAGGAACCCCAGCAGACGACACAAGCTGCCTTTACCACTGCTACAGAAGCAAACCATTTCCACCACATAAGTATTGTTAGTTTATCATTTCCAGCAAATAGAGAATGGCTCGAAAGACACGCACGTGCGCATGCACACACACACACCCCATCGCCACCAACACAAATACATTCGCTGCAGTGAGAATGAAGCTCGAGCGAGGAACAGGAAGACACAGAATCTGAGCAGCTCCAAATGTTTTGGACACCCAAACCCAGAAGCTCTTGCTGTCAATGATTAGTGGTCATGGATGTTGGGGGATGGAGTTCAAAGCATCCAGAGATCTCCCTTTTGCCCACCCCTGAGGTCTAAGAGCAGGGATGAGGCCTTAGTAGCAAAATGATCAGAGGATTCGGGATAAGAACGGAAGCACCATCCCTGTACTCTCTCGTGTGCTAATGCCAGACCCTGCCAGCCAGGTGGATCCTGCATGGTCCCAGACAGCTGTTCAGGACAGCTGTCAAGAATGCCCCACAGGCAAGGGCTTCTCCATGAACGGGCTTTCCCAACAATGGACCCCGTTGATCTCAAATCCTCATCCCGTTCCCCAGAGAAGTGCGGTGCAAGAGACGGATGGCCAACCCTGGAGAACGTTCCGTTCAGTTGCCACCACTGATTGAAATGAATCTTCCAAGGACTTAATTTTCTCTTGCTCGCATCCTCTGCATTTTGCTCCTTGCCTTCCAATTCGATCTGATTTTCATCCTAAACATCTCAGTTCAATGCAATGGAGTGTTGTTGCTTTCTCAATAAAACCCTAGTTTTCATATACAGCTAGAAATTTAGCACATAGGATTAGAAGTTCAAAAAGTGGCTAATGTTGGTACGACACACTGGTTTTTGATCACCTTTTGATGGTATTAAAAAAGAATTAGGATCAAAATCAGAAGCTTAAATTTCCAAGTGACATGTGCTCTTTTTTCCTATGTGTATGTCAGAACTCAAAAACAACTATGGCTGATTTGATACTTCTAATACTTACAAGTAAATGCTGGATTCGTTGCCCCCAATATCAGGTGACTGGAGCTTTTGAACCAAGATAATGATGATGCCAACAAAAAGCAAAAAATTGATCTGGGGAGAGGAGAAGAGAAAGAAAAGTGATCAGCAAACCACAGAGAAGCACGGCCTCTTAACTACACAAAGGGCGTTCTAAAAACAAATAGAGGAAAGAAGGGAAAAGAAGTAATCCTTGCCCAGATAACTGTAATTGAAACTTTCTGCACCAAGGACAGTCTAATTCTGGAAGGCAATCCACATTATGCAAAGTGGAAATATTTGCATGATTTCTGTTTTGTTAAAATTTATGCTTTCACTTCTCCAGGAAGATATGACAGGAGACAGAACTTGGACCCCGCTTTAGAAATTTTATTCTGCTACCCTTCTAATTTCTGAGATGCTTGTTTTGGCAAGCTTTGCCCATTCACTTTCAAGCTCAGATATTAAGGATGTTGGAGAAATCTGTAACAGACTCGAATCTGTTCCAGTTTCTAGGAATTTGAACTGTGGGTTTCACAGGAAGCCTGCTTTTCCCAAATTATGCATATTCTGTAGACTTAAGGAGACATTCTTATTTTTTATTTCTTCATTTACTGTAATTTTACACAAATTTATCATAGGAAATGGAAATAAGCATAAAAAGTCAAGAACCAAAGATGTACATTTCCACCACTAGTTGTATTGTGGAAATATTAATTTTTGGGAGACCTGCATTTTTTCAGGGGGGATTCGCCCATTTTCAAGAGTGTGAATTTATACAAGGAGCATTTGTGCAAATGTATATGGATTTGTGCAAAATCTGATTCTCTCAATGAGTGGATGATGAAATGAAGGGTTCCCGGCAAATCACGCAACACAAATGGAACAGTTTTACAACGTCCATGTAGCCCTATAATATATTCAGGAAACAGAAAACTGATCCCAAACCCACCTTTGTTCTGCATATTTTCTGTACTTGCATGGCATCTCACACTGCCTGATCTAAAAAGTCAAGGAATGTCCTGCTGGCTAAGTCCATGTGACCCAACATCCTGATTATCCAGCAGTGACACTTCCTGAAAGCTCACAAGCAGGAAAGGAAGGCAAGATGCAACTCTTTCCTTCGATGGGTACAAGTGGAACCCGCAATGCAATTTTGGTCAGAAATGCTACTGTTCAGGATTCCAGCCACTACATCCCTCAAGTCCTCAGAGACAGACCCAAAGATTTTGTCAACTTCTGCAAACTTTTGGTTCTTAAGTTCTTAGGATTACAATTTTAGCTGATCTATCAAGCAAAAACATGCAAAATTCTATTCTCTCTCTCTCTCTCTTTCTCTCTTTCTTTCTTTCTTTCTTTCTTTCTTTCTTGTAAGCTTTTGCACTGTCTTCAGGGACGATTCTTATTTCTCTGCCACTCCCCTCCAAACTATCTTAAAAGCCTCAGGTAGCATGGATGTTGCTTAGCAGGTGAGTGGCACAGAACACAATAAGAAAAGACACCGCAACACTTCCATAACAACATTTCAACTGTTCCTGAAAGAAAGAAATGTCCCCAGGGAACATTTGAACTGATGATGGGAAGGGAGCAAAGCTGTAGGAATGCCAGGCCACATAACTGGCTCATTACAGATAAAGGCATTCAGCTAATGAGACAGGCATGGTGCCCCTTTCTATCCATGGCCTCCATCCAAGCCAAGTCTTAGCAGCACTGATTCAGCTCTCTCTGTCAGTTTTCCAGTTCCATCGAATCTTCTTGCATCCAAGTCTTAGCCAGCCTTGTGCTCTCCAAACATGCTGGACTACAACTTCCAGCATCCCCAGACAGCTGTGCTAGGGAGGTGTTGTATCCCAACACATCTGGAGGATACCAAGTTGGAGAAGGCTGGTATAAGCTAGGGAAGGAAAGATCAGGGTAGAATCCAGCTCTCTTGCACTCACTGACTTCTTTTCCAGGCTCAGCCATGGCAAGGAAGCAAGCCAAGCTCAGATCAAGGCTACAGAAACTCTGGGATATGAGTGCTTCTTTGTGCAAAGAATGCAAACGTGTAATTCTGTGAGTGCAATACACACAGGACACCAATCTTTGCACAAAGTACACAAGTCATGATCTGATAGATCCCTGCCCAAAAAACTGGATTCTTCACACATCCTTAGATGGAAAAGACAACCTCTTGTGCCTCAGTTTTCATTCCTTCTCTTTGCTGCTTCTCTGCCCTTTCTACCTTATGTGTGTCTCTCTTAAGACTGCCTGACTCTTCTCCAGCAGCAACTCAGATCAGGAGAGTGTTTTCTCTCCCTCCCTCCCTCTGAACTTCATTGGAACTTGACAGTCTCCTAGGTTCTTCAGAGAAACTCCTGACCTCCACATTACACACAACTGTTGACCTTCAAACTTTTGGCTGAAGCTTACTAGTTCCCTCCCAAAGATGATTTCATCCCACAACGCATTAAAGCCAAACTAAACCCCCAAACAGGGAGCAGTTTGGTTCCATCACAATTTTCCCCTAAAAATGCAAGTGCTGAACCCATAATACAATTCTCATCATCTCAAATACAGCATTTAGATTTGCAGCTGCCTGAAGCCCGCCCTTGCAATAAATGGCAAAATTATGCTGAGCTGTTGGAAAAGAATTATAAGATGCTCTGACTAGAATTCAGATGTAAATTATCATTTTGCCCATTCCTTTATGTTGGTAGCCTGTCCTGATGTCCTTAATCTATTCAGCAATGCAGTAAATGCTTATACTGCCCAATAGCGGCCATTTTGGCCATGTAGGATCCATGCGTGATGCTTCTTTTCTTCACTCACAATTTCACATGTGGCAACGTTTAGCTAATTTCCTTGCTGAGGCGAAAAGAGATGCAATTCAGTTTCGAGTCCTGCTCTCCCAGTTGTGCTTATTCGTGCTCAGCCATGACTCATGTTGAGACCGTCCTTTCTCCCTGGGTGACTTACCATTATTGATGCAACCACGGGGCCTTTGATCACCCACCACAAGGCCGTGTTGTCATTCATGTCCCAGCAGCTGATTCCCAGATGGAAGCGGAGGGAGCAAGGAATCAAAGAGATGAAGGAAACAGATTGAGACACTCGGTGACAAGGAGCAGTTCTTGCTCCTACCCTGATGACTCATCTCACTGTGGTTTAAGACTTGAGTACTAAGCTGAGCAGAACATACACACCATAGTAAATGCACTTGCTCTGAAGCTTATTGTCTCCTGACATGGTTTTCATGGCTTCGGTTGCTTGATTTGCAATCCAATCTAATGCATCTCATTTGTGATAGACGTCCCACTGCGCTCACCTGTAATGTGCCATCAAGTCGTCTCTGACTTGTAGTGACCCTAAATATAAAAGCCCCCAAAAGGTCTTATCCATGAGAACTGTGCTCAGTTCTTGTAAAGCCTAGACTGTGGCTTCCTTGGTGGAGTCCAGCCCTCCCTCACTTGATCCTCCTCCTCTTCTTCTGCCTTCGACTTTCCCCGGCATGATAGTCTTCTCCAGGGAGTGTGGCCTTCTTATGAGGTGCCCAAAGTGTCACAGCCTATTCCGTCATTTTAGCTTCTAGGGAAAGTTCTGGTTTCGTTCGATCTAGAACCCACTGGTTTGTGTTTCTGACAATCCAGGGCATTGGCAAAATCGAACTCTATTGCTAGTTCTATCTCCCTGGGTAAGCATGTGAACGATTGCTTCCGTGGAGATGTATGTGCTGAGTAAGGAGTTCCTGACTAACTTGTAAGGAGTCCAAGGTCACCCAAGGGACTGCTGCTTCCTGAGGAAAGAGCACCAGAGGCTGTTGTGCTTTGGTGACCTTTCGTTGGCCGACAAATGTCCAGGCTGAGCAGGAGAGCACGCAAATTCCAGAGAGGAAGCACTTATATTCAAGGATGCCACATCCCACCCCAACCAAACAGAAGAAGAAGATACAAGAACATGGCCCAGTCACTTCATCCTAGGCAGCAATTCTCTGTGAAGACACAGCCACGGACCAAACATTTCTGGCCAAGCTCTGGCATCACTGACCACTCTAAAATACCCTCTTTGTTTTGTGTTACAGTTTTGGTTGCAAACCCTTTACAGCCCATTCGATGATGCCAGATCAGGACGACGCATCTCCTGAGAAGTTATCATCTAAATCAAGTGGCTGTTTGGGGGATGGACCAAAATGCTCAGGGAAGGAATGAAGATGGGGTAGAGCTCAGCAGTGGCTGAACTGACGGAAGCTTCTCTGAGTGCGAGGCGCAGTTACAGTTCATTACGCTAGCAAAGTCTGGGAATCACCAAGTTATTGGCGAGGGTAGCCTAGTCTTTGGCGACCAGCAGTGACACAAACGAGGTCATGCAATGCAGCACTTACCCAACATTGTCAAAGTGCACTCTAAGGGTAGCCCAGACACTGACACAAATGGTGGGAGTTCCTGCAGAAAAGAAGGTGGCATAACAGTCTTACGGTTGCTCATCATAGCATTTCACAAACGTTAACTTCCTTCTCACTAATAGAGGAAGAGAAACACATGCATGTGCACACACACACACAACCCCCTGGCCACCTTGCGCGGTAACTTTATTTAAAGTTTTTATTTGCCATCCCAATCCTAAAAAGGCTCTGAGCGGCTTACAAAAAACTAAATAATGTCAGCTTAAACCCAGCCAAATAAATTCTGAAGTGCCCTGAGATGGAAGTGGGAAACTGGAAGGTTTTTCCATGGGGGATTAGAGGAGATTTTGACCCAGCGCTTGTTCACAAGTTGGGCTGCCCATCCGCACATGCCCAGTCATTAAGTGCGGAGGAATGGGCCACGGGGCTTCCCGGTGTGAACCGGGACTTGGTGCTGGCGGCCAAACTGGGGCCCTGAATCCACTTGCGGTGAGGTGAGAGGAGCGTTCTTGGCGTGAAGATCACAACCACCGGATCAGCAGGGCCCGCGGGGCAGCCGAATCACCTGCAACCCAAGGGCTGAATCCAGTTCTGCAGACGTCCCCAGCAACTGCACTGCAGGCCACGGCAGGGCGGAAGGTAAACTGAGGCCAGACCCAAAGACAGCCCACGCAAGACCCAGCCCAGCCCAAACCCACCTGCACGTGCACAGCAGGGAACCTCTTACTGCCTCTAGCTAAGCCTCAGGGGAGATGCTCAACTCTCAGAATGGAGGAGGAAGAAAACAAGATGGAACCAGGAAACCACCCAATACTCAATGGCCAGGGAAAGGGAAAGCAGGGCAAAAAGAGGGGCATGGCCATCTGGAAAACCCAGGTGCTGGACTGGGACCCCAGGGGGTCCGGGTTTGGCCTCCACGTGGGTTGGGCTGGGGCCCTGGGTAGCCAAATCGGAGGTTCCTCACCTCTCATCTCCCTTCACCTTCCAGATCTTGGCAGGGCAAAGCTCCACGGTGAAGAGCCTCCTCTACTGGTGGAGACACCAGTGTGGTCTGGAACCCCAGAACATCGCGTGGAGCCTCCATCCGTGAGCTGAGCTGGCTCTCTTCCCACACGAGGAAGGGGAGGAAGCCAACAGCAGGAATCCAAAGGAGGACGCTTGGCCAATGGGCTGAGCCCAGCACTAGCCCTGATGCAAAGGGGGCTGCATGGAGAGGAAAGCCTAAACAGGGCCGGCGCTTAAGCTAGACCTGGGATACCTGGAGAGACTGAGAGAGTCACACAGTGATCACGCCGTGATCATAAGGAAAATGGGCCATGTGTGTGTGAGAGAGGGAGGGGGCACTCCCTCTACAAATAACCAATGCATAAAAAGAAACCTACCCCAGCCAATGAGGGTATACCAGAAGAAGTATCTCCTTTCTGGGAAGAAAGTCTCTACCAATAAGGTGAAAAGGTACAGCCCCTCAATGAAGAGCCAGAAGTAGTTGGACATAACACAGTAGTGGAAAAAGACCATCACTGCCTTGCATTCCACCTGCAGAAAGAAGAAAGACACAGCAATCCATCGCTCTACCGGTTTCTCTGCCGCGGTGGCCGCATCATGCTGATGTTCTTAAATCAGAACTTCATTCAAGATGAGGACTACATGGAGGTGGTGGTGGTGATAATGATGCATCTGCCCTTATAGTGAAATACAAAAATTGCATTAAAATACATCAATCAAGAACTCCCCCTGTTCTTTTTGCAAGCAGGAATAACAGCAAAGTCCACTTAGGGGCTGTCAGAAAAGCTCTTCCAGACCTCAGGGAGCTTTTGATGAAAGCTTGTAGAAAGCAGAAGAATTTCTCGTAGATGCTAGAAACTACACTGCAAGGGCAGTCACTGGCAGACTGAGGTCCTCAGGGTTTTTCTCGAATACAAGAGAAATACCCTGCTCTGGCCATAGAAGAGATCCATGTCCAGGGTTTTCAGAAAAAAGAGACTTGGTTAAGAATGTGTGTGTGAGTTGGAAGGAAGCCATTTAGGAACAATGACAAGAGGCTTGTTTAAGGATGAACCAGAGTGTGTGACCCAGAGAACTTCAGGTCCTTGCAGGACATGGATTTTGTCACTCAGAATCCAAAAATGAGAAGAGAGGAATAAGCCGCTGTTCTCAGTGAAGGTGGCTCAGATTAGGGAACTCCTGAAACTTCGCTGCCAAGGAGCTTAAGGCAGCATATCCTGTCCTGGGATCTCCAGGTGTGTTGGACTACAGTTCCTAGCACTGCCTTACCTCTAGTTTCATGTCTGAGTCCTGTTCCCTTTGTGACCGTTGCTTACTCTGAGGAGGTGGGAAACGTGTACACTTGGGCGGCATCTGAATGGGATAATTTTCCATGGATTCAAGTGCCATGACTCCATCTTTGGAGGAATGTTTGCGAAGCAGGACATTTGTGCAAATGGGTTAGGATTGGGCCAAACCCTGTTGGAATCTGTCGGATTTCCACCCCCAGATTCCTCACATATCCCAGACCACACTGGGGCTTGGGAATGAGAGGAACAGAAGCATATGCTCAGAATGTGTGGTTGCGTTCGGCAGGCATTGTGTGTGAAAACTGAACTCCTCACACATCCCTAGCTTAGGTGTGTGATGCATTGTTCCCCTTCCCAGTATCCTTGCCCTTGGAATTGTGATACGTCTAAGCCCTTCTGACCACTTTGTCATGACGAGAAATATGCAGTTTCAGCTTTAATCAACAGCCTTGGATATTCAGAGTGTCGTTTTGTCATAATAGCGAACCCAGAGAGAAATTGTGGGTTGAAGGAGCGACTTCCTACTCAACGAGTCTACGATTCTACGATTCTATCGGTGATCCTTTCTGTGATTCTTTGATTTGATTCCATGCCTGCCTTTTAAGTGGCAAATTGCAGGGGTGGAGTGGGGGCCAGAGGCAGATCCTTTGCCCCTCCCCATTCTGTATCAGGGTCAGTGTGCCTGATCTCTGCATTGCAGGGGGAAACCCGCTCCTTATATCCACCTGAATCACTCATGACTAAACGTGCCCTCGAGAATTAATATTACGCACTGCTAACATTTTCTTTTCCTTCCTAGAAAGCGATAGGCCTCCATGGTGGCCTAGCTTACCGTTGAGATAAAGCAGTGATTGCTGTCTTGTTCTGCATACAGAACTCCGTCCTTGATGAAAACCGATATGGCTCGTAGAATGAAGGATACGAAGAGATTCATGTGGATGAAGTTCCGGGTGCAGTGCAGTTTCCTGGGATCAGGAGGGAAAGAGAAGATCACCAAAAGGCAGGATTGCATCCCAGGAGCACTCCGGTTTCCCTTCGGACGTTCTTCTCCCATCAGCTCTCCAACATGGACCCCTACAGATATTTGGGACTACAGTTCCCATCAGGCCAAGCCAGCATGGCCAAGAGTCAGGGGAGATGAGAGTTCAGGTCATGCACACATCCTAGGCTAGTAGGTTTGCTCGAGTCACTGCTAGTGAGAGTAAGTGGGAAAGTCGATCTACTTTGGGCGGCAGCCCCCCCCCGTCCGAAGGAGCTGTCCAGGGTGCTGATCTTGCTCTGGGAACAGAGAATTATTCAGAGCTTGTACAGGTAAGCAGGATGCAACCGGAGCAGCTCACCCCAAAGAGGCCCATCGGTTTTTCTCCAGGCAAACTTTCCCAGGCATTCCCGGATGCAGGGCAGCGATATGACACCTAATGGGCTTAGCAGCAGCTCACAACTGGTTCTGCAATGGAGGGGACTTGTTTTCCAGACGAGATTTCCTGCAGAGCAGAGCACCTGCTGTTTCTATCTACGTACGACTTGACCACAAGCCCAGACCTGCACCGGAAGATGCATGTGGGGTCCTGATGCTGCAGGGAAGACTGTGCCACCTCTGATTACAGGAACTGGGGTGCCCTTTCTGAACAGTCCCCCTATAAAGCGCACACACTGCGAGCAGGGAAACGGTAGATCAGTCTTTCCACTGTAATGCTGATTTTCTCCATGCAGGAGCGGCTCTCTCCCTGGTACTGCTTTTTTTCTAGAGCAGGGAAACTTCAGCGGCAACAGTGCTGAGGGTCAGCATTTACAAAATTCTCATTCCATCCCACCAACAGCACCAGCTGGACCTGCCCCACAACCACACGCGCCAAGCCCCACCTTCTCAGGTCAGCTCACCGGAAACGGCACAGGATCACCATAGCTGTGGTGAGTGAAACGAGGGAGGTGCTGTACCCAACGGTGTACAGGGCCTTTACCGAGAGATAGTAGTAATCCTGAGAAAATAAGCAACAGCATGGTCATCGCTGTGGGGCAAGACGTGGAGCTAAGTGGTACAGCAATTTTAACCCTTAACTTTTCCAGTCTAAAGCACCAGTCGGAAGGTGATGGGGAATATCTTCTTTGAACAAGATCCAGGATGCCAACAGACATGAAAACCAGTATGTGATACTGGCTGGAACTGGGGGATCTGCATTCCTGTCCCACTTGGCCAGGAAGGTCACTGGATTCCTTTGGGCCAGTGCCTGAGTCTCAGTCCAACCAACCTCACAGGGCTGTTGTGAGGTTAAAATGGAGAGGAGGAGGAGGACCTTGCAAGCTGCCTTAGATCCCGTGCAAGAGGAGAAAAGCGGGAGCATAAATGAAACACTCCGTGTTCTGTTCTTTCCAAGTCATAAATTGCATTACACTTTTTTCTCTCATTTTTTGCTCCCAACAACATACCCCCAACACACACACACACACACACACACACACACACACACACACTGTTTTTCAGCAAGAGCTTGGCAAATTCAGAAGTTAGTAAGATGGAATAGGATCTTCCCATCCAATGGAAAAAGATCCTAACAGTGCTTCACAAGTATGCAATTTCATTTTAAAAATCTGTTCATTGTCTTTATTTCCCCTGACTGCCACTTCTTTCCTAGAGGAGTCTGGCAATGCCTGTGTCGGTGGGGCTCCTTACCCACTGCAGCTTTTAGTCTAGACTTTCTTGGAATGATCCTTTGTGCTCCATGGCACTCAGCCAGTTTTGGGGATGGTACTCAACAGCATGGAGAGCTCCTATAAGCCTTACAGAATAACAAGTAAGGAATCCCTCCTACTTTAATAAATAAAATCCTTTTCCACCTGCGCTGCCTTCCAGTTGAAGTCCGGGCCCAATTTAAGGTGCCGGTGATGATCTATAAAGCCCTAAGCAGCTTAGGGTCTGATTACCTGAAGGAGCATCTCCTTCAATATATGGCTGCCCACCCCATAAAATCTGGGGCAGTCGCCCTTCTCTGGGTACCCTCCCTGAAGGAGATTAGGACGGTGAGTACTCGGAGGAGGGCCTTCTCTGTGGTGGCCCCCAATCGTGGAATTCACTCCCCAGAGAGGTTCGCCTGGTGCCGTCGCTTTATTCTTTTCAGCACAAGGCCAAAACCTTTTTCTTTTCCGAATGTTGTGGGGATAACATTGACAGCAGGAGGAGGGGAATTATGTAAGACACTTTGAATTTTTTGTAAGGAAAAAGGTGGGGTATACTCGTAAATCTAATAAATAAATATGCCTTTAAGAAAAATGCATATGTCGAGACAATTTGTGGATAGGTATGTATTTTTCCAAAGAAAAGTATATTCAAAATGCATATTTGAATATTGATTTTCAGGCAGATGTTTTTAATGACTCTTAATCCAGATTCAGGCCAGTATGGAGGGAGGGATGAAGCCGTGTGAAGTGGACACAGACCAGAAAAGAAAAGTTTGCTGCCAGCCTACCTCTTTATAATCTGGGATCGTGTCGTTCTCATCAAATCCGCAGGCATCGTAGTAATGAGGAAATGGCTCTGACCAGCCTTCCTCAGTGCAGTTCCTGCTCACCATTTTTAGATCGGGAGATGCGCCTACGAGTTAACACAGAACACCTTTAGAGAAAGTGCTGCAAAGGGGCACAGGAAGCTGGACGGAGACCCTCCCAGGGCTGGATGAAGCCCATGAAGCAGGTATTTCCCACCCCTGAGCTGGCTGTGGATGTTCCTCTTGCTCGGCACGATGAATCTGCTTTCTGTGCTGGCAGTAAATGAGCGACCATGTGTCTGCTGATACAGACATCTGGGGAAGGTCTTCCAGGCAGCTGTGCGAACAGGATGCCGACCTAGACATTGCAGCTGCTGCTATTACTTGCATTTCTCTACCACCCGTCGCCAAAGCTCTCTGTGTGGTTCACAGCTTTTAGGTCACCCATCCACATTTGAACTAGGCTCGACCCTGCTTAGCTTCCAGGATTAGGCAGGATCTGGCAATTCAGGCCACATGGAAGCGTTGGCTTTGGTCTGATCTAACAGGCTCCTCCTTTCGTCCATAGGCCCATTGGGTCCCCAGTGCTGAGTCAGCCAGTGTTCCACCGGAGTGCAGCAGTGGTTTGGCCCCTGATGTTTCACACTGCAGGTGTGGGGGAAAGATGTGGGCATCTTGCCCCTTTTCCTCGTGAAGGAGAATGAGAATCAGCTGGCTTGGCCATTTTGGCCGGAAATAACATCAACAACAATAACAGCAGCGACAACAATGAATAGGTAACAACAATAGCATAAATATAATATAAATGCCCTTGTTAAGTGTAAAGCAACCCTTGCTTTAAGAAAGATTTGAGGAAAGGTACGTGCTAAGGTGTGCCACTCGTGCTTTTGGGTCCAAATACCCTAATTAAAGAACCCTAATTAAACTCTGGGCATGCTGTCCAGCAACCCAGACTCGTTTAATTTTCACCTCCCACACTGCCAGCTCGAATAACGCCACAGCGAGCCTCCTTTTCTGAAAAATCAGCTGCGTCCAGCTGCAGCCCATATCGCATGGCCTTGGCTTCCATGGAGTCATGGAATTATGGAATGGTAGTTGGAAGGGGCCAAGAAGGTCAGTGGCCCCAAACTCTGTGCAGTGCAGGACTCCGAGTTTCCCCGAGCCACGCAGGTCGGTTCCTTTCCTGTTGCATCCCAAATGCCTACAACATGGGAGGCCCACAGCCTCTCTAGGCTACTGGTACTGCTCTAACACTCAGATCATTTTTTCCTGGTATCTATCCTGAATCTGGTTTGTTGCAATTGTTCTGAGTTTACTGTTCTGTGTTCTACACTGTAGGATGAGTGAGAAGAGACCCTGGCCTTCCTCTTTGTGACAGCCTTTCAGGTATTTCTAGAGGGATCTCATGTCCCCCCTCAGTCTGCTCTTCTCAAGGCTGAACAGGCCCAGTTCTCTCCGTCTCTCCTCACGGGGCAGTGTCTCCAAACCCCAAATCATTTTTGTTGCCCTCTGCTGGCCCCTTTCTAATTTACCTGCATCTTTCTTAAATCTTGTACTGATGCATTTGATTTCTCGCTCCTCGGTGGTGGACTTGGCATTTGTCCCTGTGGAACTTCATTCCGTTGCCTCCATCCCAGCATTCTAGCTGATCTACATCACCCTGGATCTTCTTTCTGCCTTCCAGGGTGTTCGCTATCCCAGCAAGCCCCCTTCCCTATCAAGGAAAGGTCGCACAAGCCCCTTGGCAAGAGGTCTTCCAATCCAACAGATGTCTCTGGCTGATCTGGTCCATGGCAGATGCATGGCAAGCCGATTCTGCTATTCTTGCCTTACGGGTCTATGAACTTCTGATCTCTTACAGCTCCACAATGGCGTGATTGCACGATGGTGCAATGCAGGCCTCTGGCTGAGCCGGAGCTTCCCACTCCAGGCATCCCCGTGAACAGGAGGGTTGGGGGTTGCCACAGGGCCTCTCCGTAATTGTTATTACAGCAGTAAGCATGATTCATGGTTACGTCCCTGCTAGATGGTAGCACTTGAGAATACGTTTTCATAATACCATGCAAAGTAATAGCCTGCCAACCATACCACTATAATTAGAATTGATTAGCAAAATTAATATCCATTTAGCTTCAGCTCCAAATCCGTTCCTCTGCCTCTCTCAATCCACGGGAGGGAGAAGAACGGTAGGTGAGTTTGCTCAGCCTGTTTCTCAGTCTTACCTAAAATTTGGTCCTGACTGTCCAACAGTTCCAACTCTCCTGAAAAAAATAATAAAAACATGCATTAGATTGTTCTCTTGACAGGGCTGCAATCTGACTCTTTCTGAGAGAATTTTCCAGCTCAGGAGTGCAGATCCAAAACAGGGCGAGGGCCATGTGACGCCGAATGGATGCAGTCCCTGAGCAAGAGAACCTGCGTTCAGCAAAGGAATCCCAGCTGCTATTTCCAGCCTGCAACTGATGATAACAGCAGAGATTCCCATTCCTGCCTGCTCCCTAGAAGGCATTGAGTTTGTGCAGGGGGAGAGGCCATGATGTTGTGGCCCAACAAAATGGTACATCCTCCCACAACTGGCTGCAAGGCCTCTGGGTGCTGGATGTTCTCCACCCACGTTCTAGATGCCTTCCAGAGGGCACTGCTGTTAAATGAACAGAGAACCTTGTGCAACCTCTTAGAACATGCTGGTGTGCACAGCTTTTGAGCTAAGGTGGCTCAAAAGGTTGGGGCATCCCCATGGACCCCAGGAGAACAGATATGTGGAATCAGGTTACCAGGCCCAAGAGCCCAGCTGTATGGAAACCGGGGATACCAAGCAGAAGAGTTCCATGCATGAGGCGCAGATCAGGGTGATGCATGAGCTTCCAAAAACACTGCATCACACTTCTCAACACCTCAGGGAGAGGCAGTGATGTGGGGCTGGACGGAGGGCCCCCTCCGTGTTCCATATGCCATGCCAAAGAGTTGGATCCCAGGGTAAGAGATGTCCAACAGCCCCGGCCAGCCCTGCCCCAGTGGTGGCCCTCTGTTCCCAGATCCTGAGCTTACCTGGCTGAGCATAGGCCATGCTGTTCACATCCCAGCCTGTAGGACAAAGAAAAAGGAAGCACACTGTGAGCTCATCGTGGGCACCTCTCCCGTGTCTCGAGCTGAACCTCAGCTAAAGCAGGGCTGATTCAGTCTCATGAGGACATTGATGAGCTGGGGGTTGGCACTGCGATGAACATGAGGACGTTTGACAATCTGCTAATGGTTGGCGAGACAAGTGGGGCAGAGCTGTGTATTTTGCAAGCAAAACCAACAGCCCTCCCCTGCATAACGTGTGTCTCCCACCCTACTTCCTGCAAAATCTTCAATTTGGTGCAGCTTTCTTCTTCCTCCTGAGTTCACACAAAACAGACTTATACCAATCTGGACTATTTGTCCATTGAGTCCAAGACCAAGCACTCAAACCGGCAACGTCTCTCTGGGGTGTTGGGCATTCAGAGCTCTCTCCCGCTCCCTGCAGCAGGACATTTCAAACCAAAAATACCCGGAGGTGAGAGAAGCACAGACATTCAAGATGATCAAACTTCTCCCACCTTTCCTTTAATGATTGCTTTGGCATCCCCCCAGCTTTGCCCCGAACCATTTTGCTTGGCTCATTCAGACAGGAAGAGTGTACATTCCACACAGGAAAGGAGCTTGCTATTTCTTTGCTTTGTAATGGCAAAGCCTACATTTTATTTCAAAGCATATTTTCCAGAGCTAATGCCTTTTTCAAATGCAATCGTATGTTCAGAAAAGCACAACCTTTTTTTTAAAGGCACTCCAGTTCAGTGCTTTTGAAGTGAGACATTCTTGGAGATCTCCATAGATGCCAAGGGCTGAGCTTGGAAGCATCAAAGGGCAGATCGAATGCTCTCCTTGTGAGCAGGAACGCCTCCCCTTTCTCAGTTGCTCATGTGGGTACCAGAATTCTTTGTCAGACTCTGCACACAAACGTACAGGCTGCAGCACCCAGAGATCAGTAATGTGAGGCCACAACCTATTGTCCAGTCCACCGAGAAAAGCTACGACTGGGCTTGTGCATTGGCTACCACACATTTTATTGGGTTGATGGGGGCCTCATTTCCTCCACATCACCTCCACTTGTGGCAGAGTAGATGATGTTCAGAGGTAGGTTGTGTCCTCTGGAGACGGGCATGTGTCACCACACAGAGAAGCTGGTACTCTCTCCAGAAGGGCTGGACACAACTCTCATCATGAGAGATGTTAAAGGATTGCTTGAACTTGGAGTCCTGCACTGAGCAGCGGGCTCGACCCAATGGCCTGATTGGCCCCTTCCAAATCTAAAAGGCAAAGGTAAAGGTCAAGGTTTCCCCTTGACGTGAAGTCCAGTCATGCCTGACTCTAGGGGGCGGTGCTGGTCTCCATTTCCTAGCCGAGGGAGCCAGCGTTTGTCTGCAGACGGTCTCCGTGCTCATGTGGCCGGCACGACTAAACACCGAAGTGCACGGGACGCTGTTACCTGCCCACCGAAGGGGTACCTTTTTACCTACTTGCATTTGCATGCTTTCGAGCTGCAAGGTGGGCAGGAGCTGGGACGGAGCAATGGGAGCTCACCCCTCTGTGCAGATTCGAACCGGCGACCTTTCGATCAACCAGCCCAGCAGCGCAGCGGTTTAAACCACTGCGCCACCTGCAGTCCCCAAATCTACTCTCCTACAATTCCACGAAGAGCCAGTTCAATCCTCTTAGGTGCCCTCCATATCTATTCTCCCAATATTTTAAAAGTTAGTGTTGTTTCTAGTATTGATTTTATATTTATGTGTGATGCTGTTCCTGTTTATTTATGCAATCACCACCCTGAGACATTGTAAAGGATGTTAAAATACTTCGTATTGTTAAAATACAAAATTTTTTAAATAAATAGGTAAATAATAAATAAATGTATCTGCAGCTTTTGTTTCAGCCACTAGATGGTCCTCTGTGCTCTTAGATTTCTGCCATTGTGTCTGTGCAGCAAAGATCAGGGACACAAACAATTCCACCAGCCACCAGACTTCGCAGTCCCAAGCAGTTCTCTATTTCAGGTGGGCTCAGGTTATGATTCATATTGGTCTCCATGTTCTTGAAGCTGTTTTTCAGCCTATCTTTTATTTAATTTGCTGCACTGCTATTCTGATTGTCTAAAGGCAACTGCGACAGTTTACAAGTCGCTCAGAAAACTAAAAATCACACCCACATAAAACAGAGCAAAACATTAAAACCAATTGCCGCAAGAACCACCCCAGCATCAGATACATGCTGCCACCGCTTCCTGCTGACCAGCCATCTCCTTTAGTGGAAGCGGCTGCACCGATTTGACAGGTGCAGTTTTTTCCCGCCTTCTGCTCATCCTTGTCCAGTACTCCAAAATTCTTGAATGCGGAACAATTCTCAGTGTCAGTATTTTTCATCCTGGGAATGGAAAGGTTCTGTTGCACTCGCATGGAGGATTCCTCATCACCGGAGGAGTAGAGCGCTCAGAGATCAAGGGCACCCCCAGGCCAGCTGTTTTCGGAAGACCACGAGGAAGTTGGGAAGTTGCGGGTGGCTGCAGGTCCCTTCCTGCAAGGGCAGGAGCTCCTGGCTTGGCGACACCTTACCCGAACCCTGTCCTTGGTGCTTGACCCATGGCCCATGGGTTGCCTTGCTTGGACACTGCCCCATCCCTTGGTCCAGTGTGGAGTCAGCCAGCATGCAGGTCAAAAGGCTGTGGCATCGCTGGGACAGCCTTAGTTCTTGGAAGTGGATGACTAAGAACCCGCTAGGAAAATCTGTTCAGAGGGGAGGAGGTGCCAATAGGCCGAGCTGGAGAAAGCTGTGGAAAGCGGAGGTTCCATAACACACGTGTGTGTGTGTGGCTTGGATAAAGCAGGAAGTGCCTGATCCTGCCTAATTCTGGAAGCTAAGTGGGGTCAGGCCTGGTTGAAATCTGGGTGTGTGTTGTGAACTGCCCAGAATGCTTTGGCTACGGGCCGTATAGAAACGCGATGTGATGCAATGCAATGATGATGATGAAGATGAAGCAGAAGAAGAAGCCACTGCTGCTCCCCAGCATCATGTGAAGTATTACCCTGAAGAGAAAATCTAGGATGTATGTACCACTACAAAACACTGCCAAAAGAACAAAAAGCACCAGAGGACAGAAAATGGACACGCATTTGCGAGTCATGCACACGGGCAATCCACCCCAGCAGAGCAGGGAGGAGAACCTCCAGGAGGCCCGTGACCCTGGCTAGCCTGCTGTCCATGTACGAAGCACCTGAAGGCCCACCACGACCACCTCTGTTCTGGACCTTTACCCAAATGAAGGACACCCCCCAGCGGGAGACCATGCCCTCACGGCCCTTCAGAGAGAGCCGCACCCTGCGAAGTGGGCCACATGGCCACCCGGACATTAGCACAAAGTTTGTCTTGTGCCTCTTGCCTTTCTGACAGGAAAACATCTCATTCCCCACACAGTTAGACAGGGCCTCCTTCCAAGAAAAAAGAAGTTGTTGAGGATCCTTGCCTCAAGGCCACGCAGCTCTCTTCCCTTCCACATACTGAACTTGAACCTTGTCCAGGGTAGAACATTCTGGAAAGGCAGCCAGCCCCTTTCAGGATGAAAGAAACAGCACCGCTACATGGAATCTGGTGTCCCGCAAACCCTCCACATCGTCTTGCTCCTGGTTCACCAAGAGCCGATGCGCGCAGGCTCCCTTTCCCCTTGGACTACCGTTTTTGTCCTTCCAGCGCTTTCATTTTTTAAAAAAACCGATGTTGCATAAGCCGCCAACTTCATGGGTTGTGTGAGTATACTCATCACTTTCAAAAGATCCCAGCCGTTGCTATGGAGACTCCGGCCCGCTGCTGGTTATCGGGGAGGAACTGATAAGACAGTGTAGCACTCGGCACGATCATCTCTGTCGGTCATTCCTACCTGTCCAACTGGCAGCCGCTGGGGAAATGATGGCTTTTTCTCAAGTTGAGCTTTCGGGATTTGCTCCTCGGTTCTTTGCAACATTAAACCTGGGCCCGGCTGCTTAGGCGTCCACCCAAAAGGCAGAAACACGCAGAAGCTCAGTTCACACAAAGGCTGATCCCCCATCAAAGAGGACAGATTGCATCATGGATGTTGCGCTGGAGAGAATCACAGAATTCGGAGGCGCCTTGAAGGCTGTATGTTCCAGCCCAGCCTACAGAGGGCACCTGGTGCTACAGCATTTCCCCTAGATGGGCACCTATCCTCTACTTAAGGAACTTCTAAAAACTGATCATCAACATTGGGGATACGTACGAATGTGTTTCCATTATTTCAACTCTAGAACTTTCTGCATTTACAGCTGGGATCATGGACACCCAATATGAACTTCAGAAAAATCTACGCTTTAAAAATGTTCAGCCCTTTCAACTGTGCTTTCCCCCCAGCAATACATTAATGCCACACATGAGCGCATTGATAAAAGGTTGGCGTGAATCAGTGGTGATAGTGCTCTGGCTATACCAACATTCTTCCTGTGCAAGTTAAACGAAATCCTCCAAGATCCATGGAATGGATGTCAGCATGCATTCACTTTTCAGGCAAAGGATGCATATCTTGAGTGTGTACTTACAATCACAAAATATATTCAACAGCAAAACTGCAAGTGAAAAAAACATTTAAAAAAGAAGGTGGGGCTCAGAATTGTCCCTTTCTAAGCCCCTTCATATGGGGTCGGCCAGCAAAATCTGGGTTTTCTCAGCCCTCCAATCTGATCTTATCTCCTTCTAGATATAACTCTCCCATCAACCAACATTTCCTGGGCAAAGTGACAGGAAAAGTCAGATACAGGATTTGATGCACTCTGAATTTTGCATTTTTCATGAAGATGTTGGATCAGATTTATGTACAATGTGATTCCTCATGTTTCGTGTATATGTTTCGTAAATCAGTGTTCTGCATCCTTTTGACAAAATTGATATTACGATATTGGAAGGACGAATGGTCACCTCCAATAAATGTAACACAACACAAATACAATGATTAAACAAATAAAGCAAGCAGTGGAATGAGGACTTAACGCCCTTCCAACTTGCAGAGGGGTAGTATTTAGACACGGCCTAATTAATCAATACATAGATATCAGGTCTGCCTTTGTTGAAACTTACACATAATTAGGGTCACAAATGGCATGATATCTTGCGCAATGGCTAATAATTTGACTACACATATTTCACATGCACACATATATTCATGTTTGACTATATCTACTGTAATTCAGCTATTCAAACATCATGTAAGAAAACTGCATTTTTTTTCTTTTTGTTCTTTGACTTTTCTTTATGAAGTTTTGTTTTTGTTTTGATTTCTTGAAATCCATAATTTTCTATACGTGGAGAAGGGCCTTTTCAGTGGTGGCACCCCGACTGTGGAATCTGCTGTCCAGGGCGGTTTGCCTGGCGCTGTCACTCTATTCTTTTTGGCGTCAGGAGAAGACCTTTTTATTCTCCAGGTATTTTAACAATCAATTGGTTTTATCTTTGTTTTATTTATTTAGAATATGTATTTGCCATCCTGTTGCAAAGGCCTCAGGACAGCTTACATACATAAAATAATATAAAACATAACACAAGTGAATTACAGATCCACCCTGGCCGCAGATTAAACCTATAAACTGATGTTAAAAGTTATTAAAATATTGTTTAAATAAAAAGGTCTTAGCCTGGCACCGAAAAACAAATAACGATGGTGCCAGGCAGACCTCTCTGGGGAGTGCATTCCACAGATGGGGCGCCACCGCAGAGAAGGCCCTCCTCCGGGTACTCTGTCTCCTAATGTCTTTCAAGGAGGGTTCCCAGGGGACGGCCTCTGCTGCCGATCTCAGGGGGCGGGAGGGCAAATATGGAAGCAGGCGTTCCTTCAGGTATCCAGGTCCCAAGCCCATAGTAATTTTTATTACTATCTTAGATGTAGTGTGCAGCGTGTTGTTGTCACGGTTTTTCTCTTGGTTTTCTGTTCCTCACAAGCCATCCAGAAACTTTTTTAGTAATGGATGGCATAGAAAAATTCTAAATAAACAAGCAAATAAATAAAATCATGTGTGTACACGCAAGTGTGAGATTGTGTGTACATATATGAAAGGGAAAAGGCGATGAATGCAAGCTGGTTCAGCTACGCCACTATTCTCGCAGCTCCCAGCATAATAGCGAGAGGAGGAGCAGCCTATATCATGGGTGGGCTGCATCCTATGTGGTGGTTCAGAGGAGCAAACGCCTTGGATGAAGGAGCTCTGCAATCTGGGATTTGGATTCGGCCTGGGGCTGGGACTCCACCAGGTCCCCTGGGCTTAGCTCCCCCGTCTCCAGTCCGCTCTGCGGAAGTCGGGAGTCCAAGTTCCTGGCAAGCGCGCTCGGCATTCTCGGAGAACTTGCCCGGAACCAAGCCCCCTGTGCTGCTCCAGTGGCGCCCCATCCCGTGCCAGCGCCATTCTGCGCCCTCTGCCACCAGCGGCAGTGAGCAGGGAAGAGGCTGCCCACCAGGAATGGCACCGGGCACACCTTCCCGCAGTGTCCCACTGTTTCCACCTGCAGCCACTCCCGATGCGGAAGGCTGCCGCTGGGGCCACCAGGACTCCCTGAGTGTTCGCAGGCCTCCTCTGGGCTCAGCCCACAGGCTGCGCATGAGGGGAATGAACTCCAGAAGGGTCTATCCCAACCCTAGTCCTGGGCACAATCCCAGTGGGAATCAGCCGCTGCCTAAGGCCCTGTTGGACCACTGATAACCTGAACGGGCAATCCAGGGCTAGAGATAGTGCTTTTTTTGTCATAGAACACAGCGGAACAGAGTTCCGGCACCTTTCTTCAAAAGATTTTCCAAGTTTTAAAAGTAACTTTTGAAAATTTGATGTTTGGTCCATGTGGATTTGAATCGTCCTGTCGAGCGTAGCAGGTCGGCGGCAAAATCATTAAAACGGTGCGTGCGGGCTGCTTGCGTGTTGAGCCCGATGCGTGCGCACTTCATCCGCGCTGGATATGATGGTGCTGCTCGCTTTGTGATTGGTCGTGTGGTTGTGCGCTGAGTGCTTACTGCGGGCAGCGACTGTTATGTTTCATTACACAACTGACGTGTGTGAGTGTGTGTACAGTAATTGACTATGTGCGAAAGGTAAATGATTTCATGAATTCCGACACCGTTTTTCTTACGAAAAAAGCACTGGCTGTTGGGATGGATAACCAGACGTGGTACGTGGATGGATAAGGCAGCCCTTCATTCTCTTGTTTTGCCTGGCTTGCCAAGGACAAGGGAGACATTCAAGGATGGGCAGATATGGCAGCTGAGGAACAGGAGGTGGCAGCTAGGACAAATTGCAGGGGAGGCAGAGCTGACTCGACTCCCACAGCAATGGCTCCACCCCGGTCCCACCTGGCTTGCTGAAATTCACACCCCCACAAGTCCATAAGTTGCTCCTCATAAGTCCGTCTACCCCACGGTCCTCCCCGACACCCTTTCCCTGTGTGTGCCTCATTTCTTCCTCTTTTCTGGGACACCAACTTCAGAAGGTCCAAGGGACGTACCTCCCTGCAAACTCTCTTGGAATGCAAAGCCATCAGGCACCGGCTGTGGGAGGTTCTGAGGAAGCGCCAGGGCTTCCTCTTCTGGCTGGAGGGCAGAAGAGCAGCCCTGGTGGCTGCAGGATGGGGCCCACCGTCAATCGCAGCCCCCCCCTCAGGGCTCCCAGGTGGTGCTTGTAACATCTCAGTGGCCTCAGAGCCTCACAGGTGGCAAAAGAGCTGCATTTTCATTACATGCACCAAGAACTGCCTGCGTTTGCATTAAAACGAATGAAAGTACAGCATGTCAATAGCAGTGCCGACCTGGGGTGGGGGGCCAGTCTACGGCAAGGGCCTGAGGGATGCTCCGGGACAGTGGTCCACACATCGCCCACCCCTCCTGTTGTGACCTGAGAGGCACACCAAGTGCCTCGGATCAACCACAGGGCTGCAAAGTCCCGGGTTTGTTGCTGCACATTTTTCCCAGTGTCCCTTTGGTCCGAGCAGTCTAGGCTGCCATACTGCCTGCCACGAGCAAAGTTTCCATTCAGCAGCCATGCAGAGAGAAAGCAAAGAAGGACCGGGCCGTGTTACCGTCATCGAAGTTGAGCAAAGTGAAGAGCGCTGGGCACTTGACGAAGATGACCTCGCCCACGAAGGCGGGCTTCCAGCACGTGATGTTGTCCCACATCCCCGGGCATCCTGTGGAAGAGAAAGGCGTTGTGAGCAAGGCGTCTTCCCCCAAACGGGACAGGCACTTCAGCAGTTACTGGAAGAGTCCATATTCCATACAGAAACAGCACATTCAGAAGCTGCGAAACACGCACTCCAGCTGGAATTTTGACCCCCTGCTTTGCCCCCTTCACCCAAAGCTTTGCTTAGGAACCCTTGGGGGCCGGTCTCTGGAGGGGGGTGCACTATGGAAGCAGCTGTGCCAACGCTCTTCCCATTGAGCCCCTACTTGGTCTGGCCAGCGGGTGCATCGACTGGCCCTTGCGTCCGTGTCTCTTGGGGTGTCGAGTTCTCCTCCCGAGAACCCCTCCCCAGCCTGTTCCCCACCAGCTTCTTTCCCGCCTCAGGAGTGGGAGGGGGCTCAGCGGTGGCCCTTGAAGTGCTTTGATCCAGAGTTGTTCAAGGATAGGCTAGATATGCACATGGTAGTCATATCATGAGTGGAGCCGATTGGAGCCGGGGGTCAGACTAGATGACCCAGGAGGTCCCTTCTGAGTCACTCTGTTTCTATGTTGGCTTGGGCTGGCTCACTGGGAGAATTTGGGCAGCTGAGGCCTCACTAGCCTCAACCACTCCAATATCAGAGTGAGGACCCTGAGCTACGGCTGGGTCAGCTCTCCACTCCCCCTCCCCCAAGTCTGAGCCGCCATTCCCACCAGAGCCCTCCATCTCCCGTGTGCTCCTGGGAATCTCATCTGAGCGCTCATGATGAAAGGATCCAGTTAATCAAAAGGCTGCATCTGGATCTACTCTGCTCATCCTCTGTTGACACCGTTACTTCACTACCCTTCCCTCTGGGACAGAAATAAAGACGGCCAGGAATGTCGCATCCATGCAAAATATGCAGAAAGAGACACTTCACAATTGGCCACGGCTCCTAGTCTGGAGGGCTATATGCTATTCTGGGTATCCCAGGCTGGGGAACATGGGACCCCATGGATAGCTGCTTGGACACCATGGAGGGAAACTGGTTGGGTGGATCGGTGCCTCCCGCCCATCAGAATGTGCAATTGTATTGTCACAGCGGCCCAGAGCACATGATGCACAGGACTATCCAGCTCAGGCACTGAGTGCAGACCAGGCAGGGGCCACAGTGGAGCCACGGAGAGACACGAAGGACACATCAGCTCGCTCCGAGGAACTCCCGCATTTTGCAGAAGTGGGAAACATTTTTTTGTTTTTGTTTGTTCAGGGGAAGCCTAAAAGACAACTCCACCCCACCATATAACCAAACGATAAAAAGGCTGTTGCTTCCCAGCATGTGGGTGAATAAAATTCAGCGTGTGGGTCACGTATCGCAATACCCTGAAAAGGGCATGGCTGAAACAGGGCCCAGGAACTCACGCTGCGACATTTTCCTGCGGATCGCAGCTGCTCCCGGAGCAGTCCACCGATTCGATGCACTGCACGCGATCAGGCTGTAAGGGAGGGCCCTGCTTCTCTTCTCCACAGCAAGCACAATTCTCCCGGGAAAGAGCGATCCCCAGGCAGTACGTTGCAGAGCTCATGGCTCACCCTACGCTAGCGCGTTCCACGCAATGCATCTTCTCCAGAGGCGCACGTGTTCAGGCATAGGGGTAACACAAATCTGTTGTGTCCAACAGAAAATAAAAAGCCCTAACCTGGGGGTTAAGGGAGAGGTCCTCGCGGCCAGGCAGCAAAGCCATGCATGTTCGTTCACTGTTTTTTTAAAATTAAATTTTCTTATTTTAAAATGCTGTTAAGCAGGGGTTTTCAGGGAAATCCTCAGCTACGGTGATGATGGTTATTACTGTTGCTATTATTGGTAATGACGTTGTGTCCATTCAGGACCTGAAGTGTCCCTTCACATGACTCCAGTTCTCCGTCAGCTTCACTGGCTTCCCATTGAAGTCTGGGCCCAATTCAAGGTGTTGGTGATGACCCATAAAGCCCTAAACGGCTTGGGTCCTGGTTACCTGAAGGAGCACTTACATCCATATATGCCCAGCCGCCCCCTGAGATCTGCGGGAGAGGTCCTTCTCCGGGAACCCTCTGTGAAAGAAATTAGGAGGGTAGGTACTCGGAGAAGGGCTTTCTCTGTGGTGGCGCCTAAGTTATGGAATGCGCTTCCCAGAGAGGTCTGCTTGGCACCGTCGCTATTTGTTTTTCGGTGCCAGGCGAACACCTTTTTATTTAAGTGGCATTTTAAATGTTAATATTATTGAATTTTATCTGGCCAGGGCGGCTTATTTTATATTGTATGGTTGTATTTTATTCTTATGTTTACATTTTTAATTTATGATTATAATTATTTAATTTATTGTTGTAAGCCGCCCCGAGGCTTCGGCGAATGGGGCGGCATAAAAATGTTTTAATAAATAATAAATAATAAATAAATAAATAAATAAATAAATGGGTTTGCTCGCTTCCAGGGGAATCCGTTTGGCCACTTTGGGAAGAAGGTGTGCAGATATCTCGATCCCTGAATAATCCTGCAGGACTTTTAGGGTCTTGTAAGTGGGGGCTTATGACCAACTCCATTTCCCACCTTGGCTGAATTCCCAACACATTGGTGCAGAAGGGGTCCAATGATGTAACTGTGGACTTTGGGTTCTGTGCTCCTGACATTACGTGCATGAGCAGTAGGGAACCCCAGTGTTTTTCAGGGATCTGTGCAAGAGCTAAACCTGAGGGGGTTGAATCCGAAGAATTCTACCTCACTGCTCTTACGTAGTCACATGCCAAATGCTTCTTGTCGCAGAAAAACTCATGCATATTTCATACTTTGGAATCCATCCATATTTATTTTCCCAAATGTATGCATCAAAGGTTTGCACATTTTCAAAGCACATGGCCTTCTCTCATCAATTGAAGTGTTTCTGTGCACTGTTTCCAAAAGTACACAAACGTTCAGGGATTTTTTTTAAATGCATGCACACCGTCAAAAGCGCTGTGTGTGCCGTGTGTGTGTGTGTGTGCATGCATGCCCAGGAATGACACAGAAAGCTCAGAAATGTACAGACTTGAACTGAAAATTGCATCCGAGCCGATTAAGAAGGTGAGAACTGGGGAAATCCAGCTCAGAAATGAACTGAGATGAATTTCCCTACATTTGCTGAACGGGCTGCCAATTCTGGCCAATGTTGATGGGTTTCGAACAAGAGATCAACACCCAGAAAATAAGACAGCGGGTGCCTAGAGATGGATGGCTTCTACAAAAAATGTTGAGATGGAAATGGCCCTTTCTATCATCCATCAAAAGACAGAGAGAATGAAAACCTAGGAGACTGCCACATCAAAAGCTTCCAGCCCTCAAGAACCCTGCTCCATCCACCCCCAAGTCTTCCAGCACTCTTTGTTCTCATCTTTTCATTGTGAAGGCAGCAGCTCTCAGAGCATAACAATTTCCCTTTGCTAAGCTACTTACGAAAACAGAAAGACCTCCCATCCTATCTGAACGGTGGCTACAGAAAAAGACGGAAGCAACACAAGAAGCCCTCCGAACCTTCGGAATAGCAGGAGCAAAATAGCTCCTTGCCATGCAACTCCAGAAGGTGAGGGAAAGGACCGTGCCAACGTGATGTATCCTTCAATGAAATGTAGGGGAATCCTTCCCCGACTGGACCAGATATGACCGACTACAACGCCTATCATTCTCATCAAGCAGGGTTATGGGAGGACAGCAGCCAGTCGAAGTACCTAAAATCATATATGCAATTATCAACTGTCTACTAATGACTTGTCAGTCACAATCATATATTATTATGTTCACCATTCTGAGAGCATTGTGCTAATTGAACAGTATAGAAGTGCCAAAAATAAATTGATAAATAAATATTGCAGGCGTATACCCATAACAAAGGTGTATGCATAGCCTTCATAGCAATTGTTTGTTTAAAAACATGTCTGTGTTTTATTTTTTGTCTTACTGTTAAAACATCCCAAGACTTCGGTAAGTACGGTCTTTAAAAGTTTTAAATAAATAAATAGCCAAATCAGGATATAATGCAAATCCATAGAAGACCACAGAAAGAGGAACTGAGGAAGTGGCAAGAGCTATACTTGACTCAGAAAATATCAATAAAGCTGGCGATCTTGTTGTTGTGTCCAGATCATTCCCAATTCTGCAGTTCAGGAGCACAACTAAGCTAGCTTCACACATCATGAGGAGCGGCTCTGCGTGGTTTCCATGGAACACCTTTTTTGCCTGGAGTGCCTGACATGCCATCAAGTGGTTTCTATGCTATCGTGGTTTCCACCCTCCTCACTCAGTCCGCCCACTGTTGGCACGTTCCCCATCAGCCACCATGCCTGAAAGTCAATCTCAGGTTAGAGGGCTGGAGCGGCTCGTGTAGCAGCCACTCTTTCCAGGAGACTCTATGGTAGCTGCATAACTGGACTGTGGAAGCCGTGATGACAGGTTCAGAAGACTGGATAAACTGCAATGAGACATGGAAAGCATAGAGCAGACCAGAGCTTCTCATCATGGTTTCTAAAAGCCAAGCATTCTGTGCTGAATTACCACGACAGGGTTCAGACAACAAGACAGACCAACCCATGCAAGAAACTGCCATGGCTTATTGTGCCGTGTGAACCCTGCCGTAGGGCAGTTATGAATGACAGCTTCCTTTCGGCTTGTGTAAGTGCAAACAAGCCCAATTCACACCGGAGCCATAGCCCTTCAGCAGGGAGGCCAATCCAGGGAAGCTTGTGCTGTTTGTTTCTTTATTTGTTTATAAGGGAGAAATACAATTAGGCCAGGCTCCAGAGCCACACATGGCTCTTGAATCCCTCTGCTGCGGCTCCGTCGCTCAAAACACACACCAGCACAGCCCCCGATCTGCAACCCGCGCCGGCACGGCACAGCCACCGATCTGTTTCATAAATGCAACACACTATAGTTTTTTTATACATCGCATAAAGGTAAAAAACGATATATGCAGTGTCATTTTCATTTTAGAGGTCAAAAGAGTTTTGAGGCGCCTGGTGTTTTCTTTTCTGTGGGAAAC